TAAAAGAAAGATATTTGGTTGTCAATGATGCACATGTTTTAGCAGATGCCATCTTTGAAAAAAATCTCTTGTGAGAGAAGAGGAATGTCTTCCCTAAAATAATGCTTGCTTTTGGGGATTTTAAAGAGTCTTTTTTGAGAGAAGAAAGTAAAAAAGGTAGCGAGCAAAGTCATCACCTCAAAAATCTGCTGCAGCCGGACTCTCTCTTCCCCTATTCAACTCTTTGTTCCATGGAAAGGATCCTGTTCACCTGAAGTTTTTTTTTTTAAATGTTTATTGCGTTCTTATTAACAGTTGTTGTTACTTGTAAGCTGCCTTATCTGTCACTAGGGCTTCTGTCACTGGGAACACTGTCCTCTGAGCATTCTGTGTTCATCTTCCCCCGAAACTGGTTCTCACAGAACTAATGCAGAGTTTCGGAAACTGAGCTTCCATGGTTCCATGTGATGCCTGAAAGCCTCAAGCGCAGCCCCCAGAATTCTGCAAATATTCTTACCAAACTGTAATTTTTTAATATGAATGAAGATGGAAAAAAATGCATAGCTAGATGGTACTTACATTAAATACATTTAATTTTAATTAAATGTACCTCTTGGTTACTTAAAAAAGCATGATGACAACATAGTTATGTAAAATAAAATGGAACATTAAGAGAATAGGCATAATGAAGACTTCATTATTATATATTTTATCTGAAGGCTATGTTTGTTTATAGATGAACTGAAGAATTTAGTACTTCTCAATCTGAACAAGAACCAACTAAAGTATCTTCCTTCAGAGATTTGCAGGTAAATTTGAGAAATATTAGAATGAGGTTTTGCTTGAATTGGATGCACTGTATAAGTTGGTTTTAGTAACCCATCACTATTTTTGTGAGCAGCAGCATCATTTGAATGATTAAAGCAGTGTTGCAATGTTGTGCTGCAAGCTCTACCCCTTTGTGTTTCTGCATCTGTATGTTTGCGTGTGACATTACAAGACATGTAGAACAGGGACGGTTTGTAGCACGATGCCCCTTGACATCAGTCTGACCCTTATTGCTGCTACCTGTGTGTGAGATAGGTCCATATCTTTCTCATGCTATCTCACTGCAACAATGTATTTTACAATCTTTGCTTAATTTTCAAACATTTGATCCAGAGAGTTTGACTGTAATAGAAACACTTTTGATCTGTAGGGTCTTTCTCTTATTGAATAACCATACTGTATATTGCTATAATCTTGCTGTAATTCCTCTTAGTGTTTTATAGATTGGATTGTGTAAAAACTATGTGTGGTTGGGGGAAATATATGTTTATCTTACAAGTAAAGCTATTTAAGAAAGATTACAGGTACTTTTTCTAGACAGTAGAAAGGACGCAAACCCCTAGATTAGCATTAAAGGAGAGCCATTATTATGACAGCCAGTGCGATGTAGTGGCTGAGGTGTTCGATTAGGAATAGGGAGACCCAGGTTCTAGTTCACCCTTAGCCATAGAAGCTGACTGGATGACTTTGGATCAGTCATTCTCTCTCAGCCCAGCCTATCTCACAGGGTGGTTGTGGAGAAAAGTAGGAGGCCACCTTTTGCTTCTGAATGGTGGGATATAAATAGAATAAATAAAGCTTTATATTTTATGTTGTTATGTTTAACAACAGAATATTGTAAACTGTTTAGTTTATGTTTATGTCCAGATTTTCAGATAGTAGCTGCAGAAAATATATTCACATATCATTCCACTTATCTAGATCAGTGCTTCTCAACCTTGGCAACTTTAAGACTTCGTGCTGGCTGGGGAATTCTGGGAGTTGAAGCCCATACATCTTCTATATTTTGAAATCTCAAATAGTATTCTGATTTATCAATTTCCCGTCCTAGTAGTTCACTCCTGCCTTTTTCGACTTCACTCAGTCGAGTATCAATATCTCCAATTTTCTTATCTCTTTGTGTGTCTTCATCTTCAATTTTCTTAAATCTCTCCTCATATTTTGTCATCATCTGTTGTATACTTTCATCTGTCTTTTCAATTCTATGCTCAATATTCTCCGTCCTCTTTCCAATCTTCTGAATTTCTTGCATAATTGCCTGCAATGTCACTTCCTTCTCTTTTTCATATTGTATCATTGTCTGGATTGAGCGTTGTCTCCCAGGTGGTGAGGAGGAAACTACTGATGTTGATGAAGTTGGGGCTATTATTTTCCTGCTCATCTTGGTGCTTGAAACTGCAGAAAAGAGAAAAGGAGGAAAGAAAAAAGGCAAAACCCACAGCTACTACTCCAAAAGATAAAAATAAAAAGCAATAAAAAGGGAAAAAGGAAACAGGAAAAGAAGGGAAAGGGGAAAAAATCTTCAGGCACTTGTCTACCTTAATCCAATAATATACAAATAAAAAAATAAAAAAGGAAAGGAAAGAAAAAAAAAGGCTAAGTCTCTTTGAAAATCCAGCTAAAGGAAGGGTAGAAAAAAAACCCCAAAACTTCTAGCAAGAAGTAAGTTACTGCCACTAAATATCCAAGGCTCTTGTGACTAAATCAAGCTTTCCATCTTAAACATTTTCAAAATCCACTTTCAACTCCGCTTTCTTATTTATAGTTGTTCGGATGGCACCTTTATAAACAGTTTATCATGCACATCCTCTAGATGGCAGTGCTACTTTCTTTCATTAACTTTCTCTTCACTCCGCTTTCCCATGTGCATGATAAACTGTTTATAAAGGTGCCATCCTCTAGATGGCAGTGCTACTTTCTTTCATTAACTTTCTCTTCACTCCGCTTTCCCTATTTCCCAAAGCCGAAGAGAAAAAAAAGAAAAGAAAAATATGTTTCTTAAGGCAATAAAAGAAATCTTAATCCCAAAGAAGAAGCTTGAAATCGAGAATTGTTAAATATTGAAAAGAAAAGCCAGTCCAGTTGAATTAAAAAAAACAACAACACACACACACTTTGCCAAATTCAAGTCCAATAAAAAGGGAAAATTGAAAAACTAAAGATTTTTTTTTTTTAAAAGGCTCGATCTCGCCGCTTAGTCCCACTTTTCTTCACTTT